AGATCGTGGGTTCGAATCCCGCTCGTGACACTGACTTTTTTATCTCAACTAAAAACAATAATTAATTGAAAATATTTTTGATTATTGTTGTCTTGTATGGTTACCGTTGAAACTCTTTATTGGTTTTAGAAGTGATTATTACTCCTAACCCCTGTCGGATGGGTTGGCCCATTTTAATTTGCATCAGTTATCTCTATCAGTTTAAGATACATCACTACGTGTTTCATTTTAAAACTTTTCAATGGAACAATAAGAACAATAAGTTCATCATCGCAAAGTAAAGTTGACTTCCCTCAAGAAATACCCGGTTGGCTATATTATTTCACAACCGTACCACCAATTATGGAAGAAATTTATGTCCAAGCAGGTTATTACAAATTGCTGATTCATTAAAGATCGATCCTTTTTCGGCCAGTCTTTCTTCTCTCAGAACCAAAATGAATCGGAACGCCTTGATATCGAATGGACAGTTTTATAAATAAACTTTTTCCTCACAAGCCCCTTGTTTAGTTTATTATTTGATCATTATTGTTTTGTCATCAATTTCTAGTGCTATTTGGGTTTTAACTATCCGCATGCATTGTTCAATAAGTAAATAAAAAATAAACAACTCTATAAAAACTAAAAAACTTTGAAACTATAACAGAAAAATAACAAAAAAATTAAAGATATACTTCAACTAAAAAGCATTCAGAGATGAATAGGATGGGAAGGGAGAAAGAGAGAGGGACGGAGGGAGAGGGTGAGAGAGAGGGAGAGGGAGAGGGAGAGGGAGAGGGAGTGGGAGTGGGAGTGGGAGGGGGGAGAGATGAGAAAGTGAGAGTGAGAGAGGAAAGAGAGTGTGAAAGGGGTGAATGAAAAATGATAGGTACATAAATGAAGGAGTATAGACGAAAATTAATATAAATATTCAGAAATCGTGAGATGCGGTCTGGTGTGATGTAGGTATCAGAAATACATTTTCTTTATCGTGCGAACGTTTCGATCTTTATGGAGATTATCTTCAGGGCTCAAAGTGGGCACACGACACGCAAGAATGGCACAATTACACAGAAGACAAACACATTGAGCCCTGAAGATGATCTCAATAAAGATCGAAACGTTGGCACGATAAAGAAAATGTTTTTCTGAAACCTACATCACACCAGACCTCATCTCACGATTTCTGAATAATTATCGATTAACGGTCACTAATCACCACACATTAATATAAATATACAATAAATGTGATTATATCAGTAAGTAGTAAAATTTGATATACATAGAACTTTCGGTCAAATATTTACAGTAGTAAAACCAATTTATTTGGTTCTGAGCGTTGATACAGTTGATAATAAATATTTACTTTTCAATTTTATTTCATACATTTCTGAAAGTATTTTCCTACAATATTTAAATCAAAGACTAGATATACAGCCCAAAGAAAAATCTGAAAAATCAATCAATGGAACCTAAAAATAGAAATTTTGCAGAAAATTATTGTTTGATATATATATAAATATGAAATGTTGAATACTTATTAGTCACGTTTTTGAGGAAAAATCCGTGCTCTAGAGCACAATTGTGTAAAATTGTCAAAAATTCTTTTTTCCGGGCTAAAATCGGGGTCAGAGATGATCAGGAATCAGCAATAAAAAAAACCTATACGTGAATTTTTTCCTCGTCGGTAGTCCTCTTTATTCGTGACCGTTTTGACAAAATCTATCCGAGCCACGTAGCATTGTCGCAAAGAAGAAAATAGCAAGTCAAGGGAGACCGATACCTAAGAATATTTCTCTAATTAAACAATGTGATTATTAATCTTTGCATATTAATTATCTAATTAATTAAAGCAAGATGAGTGTAGCCCAAAGAAATCGTCTCCTGACAAACAGTGGCTGTCTTGTGGTCCTTTAGTTTTTTTCCAAAGATTTTGTCAATTCTTGACTAATGATGTACACACACTACATTTAATAATATTTGGTATTCACTTTTTAATAGGCTTCATGGTTTTTCAGTTCAGAACAGGTTTTTCTGTCTTTACTATTTTTGTTTTAATTATAGACAGGGCCAATTTACTATTTGTTCCAATGCATTCTAGTACCGTGAAGCATTATGACACCCGTGACTTTAGTTCTGCTAACATCCTTGAATCACTAAATGCGAAAATAGTAAAGAGAGAAGAGGTGGACATCTCTCGAAAAACGGTAGCGTTTTATGGTCCGTATGTAATTTTTATCTCAAAAAATCTAACAATAATTGGCCAATAATATACGCACAGTATATTTAATATTATTTGTCATTGTTATACGCTGGTTTTTTTGTCACACTGAAGTTGGCCAAATGGTGAAAAGCGTCGGCCAACATAGACATGCTTTCCCGATTACTCATCGTCAACAAGACAAGAGGATCTTTAACGTCCGCACCTAGCCTATACGGCCTTATCGGACGTTTTGATTCTCAAGATGAGAGCTAACGCACCTCTGCATACGACGGAAAAGTGTTACCGCCGCAGCATTAGTGTAGTGGTGTCCCGGCCCGTAAGGGTCGGTAGCCACGCTCTACGCTTGTCCACTCCGAATGGTCGGGCCCGCATTGTGCGTCGGGTCGTACGCCGCACGCGAGGGGCTAACGGGCCGAAATACATCAGCCCGTCCCCCCCCCCTCGCGTACTCCCTAGATAGAGAAGGCGACTCTATCTCTCTGAGTGTAGAGGCTCCCCTAGCGTAGAAACTTTCGGGAACGCCCCGACAGCGGTTTCGGATTATAAAGTGGGATTGCTACCCACCCCCTAGATGAGTACTGCCTACGGACAAAGGTCTCTTATCGAGCTCAGCCGAGTGGCCAACATAGACAGGACAGGAAGACCCGTAGCGACTACTGGTTTTATACTTGGTCCAGGATATAAGCAGGTGGTAAAAGACACAATCACTGAAGATGGCCAAATAGCGAAAACACGAAAACAGTCTGACAGACCAACACAGCGATGTTAGGAAGATCAGGATGGATGACATCCACTGCTTTTGTCGTAGGTCAAGGATGCAAACAGGTTGAGGAAAGAAACAAACTACACAAGGATGATCGGTAGCTATTGTTTTTGTAAATGGTCAAATATATAAGCAGTCTGATAAAAGCAACAAAATGAATGCTGAATTTGGACAAATGTCTAAACGTCTGACAAACCAACATAGCCAAAGACAGGCACGTCAGGATGATCGGTAGCGACGAACGATTTGGTCATTGTTTAAGCAGGGTAAGGAAAGACAAAAAACAAACAAAAACACTGAAAAATGGCCAAATGGCTAAAAGAGTCTGGCAGACCAATGGAGCGAGTGAGGAAGACAGGATGATGGGTAGAAACTGTTGCTTTTGTTGTTGGTCAAGGATATAAGCAGGTTGAGAGAAGAAACAAACACTGAAGATAGCGAAATGCCTAAACGCGTCTAACAGACTAACACCAGAAAGGGAGACCAAAATGATCGGTAGCTACTATTGCTTTTGTAGTTGGTCAAGGATTTAAGCAAGGTGAGGAAAGAAACAAACACACTGGCCAAATATAAAAAAGAGTCTGGTAGAGCAACACAGCGAGGATAGGAAGCTCTTGGCAAAGGTTAGTAGGATAAGAATAGATTCAACTCAAATGAAGACAAGATCATCTAACTATTAAAAAAAAGCAAAGCAAAATAAATAAAATTCTTAATATGTAAATTCCGTATGTTGCAAACACCGTTTTAATCTTCGGAGAATGTTCGAAATATTTGGCTATTACGATTGTCCCAGTGGAATTTCACTGGGTTTTAATCCTGGGTAAAACGCCCAGTAGACTGATCAACCGGCGGAAAAATTCCATTGTTTTCCAGATTCCAGCGACAAAAATTGTTTTTCGGCAGTTAAATAATTAAATATGAGACTCATGCGTGAAATCGTATTCACAAAGACAAGCCGAAAAGTTTTATTTAACCGTCACGTATTGAATGTCAATCGTTTACCTTTTCCCTCGCCCTTGGAAATTATCTCCCTGTTTACCAACACAGGTTTTACAGATGGTAAGGGAAAATGGGCAAATTAAGTTACATTTATTTCACAACCAGTTTCCTCATTCGATCTACAGAAGTGGTAATATTTTGCACAATTACGGAAAATCTTTCTTTAGGTTTGTCACCATGCAGGGAAAAAAGCTTTTCATGGTTAGCTTTAATTAATTTTCTTCTTACCTTCCATACAACCCTTCATACTGGGAAGTTCATGAAATTCTATTTTTTAATTATTATATTGACTGGATTTTAATGTTAAGAAAAAGTACAAAAACCATAAACGGCGCGATGTTCCTAAAACTTAACTACCCACAATTTTCCAATTTAAGTGATTATTTTTCTATAGAAAAAAGGGTAACAAAAAAAAATAAAAATTTATCCATGAAGAAAGAAATTATCATATAAATAATAACATTGCTTGTTATAAGTTTATAACATCTTATTTAGGGTTTTTAGAAAACTAAGTCAAGGAAAAAAGCTTGATTAAATAATTTTTAAATTTTTACTTTCTTTTTGTTTTAATTATTTAAAAGACATTCAGAATTTTCTAACTTTAATCCTGACAATTTATTTTCTATTCTAAGGTTGAGATTTTATGTTTATTTTATCATTATGGCAACCGGTTGAAATCTTGTTTGACTTTCCTACCTGAAATTTAGTTTAAAATAATTTTTCGAAAATAGAAAAGCTAGAAGATAGTGGAAGTTGGTTTCGTTATATTTTACACGTGTAATTAATTTTAATTTGTCAAAAATCCCTGGCTAATCTAGAACTTGGCAAGAAGTACGATTTAAGCAAGCGTTAATGTTTTTACGCTTAACACTTAATTAAGCCAATGCGTACTTACATATATTTCGTTTGTCGTTTGCATTGCAGACAATGGCACTGAGGAACATTAATTCGCGTACTGGCACAAACATCAACTCCATCACGGGACGCAGATAACGCCTCTTCAAAGATAAGGAGTTTATCTTAAAAAAAAGAGAAAAAAGTAGGGAGAGGTTTGCCGGTTTTATTATTTTTACCGGCTCGAAATGGTCGGAGGCGAAGTTTTAAGGTGGGGTTTAAGTCCTAACCTGCAAGTCCATGTTAACTTGAGCCGATTGTGATAATTTCCGATCAAAATGTTAAATTTTTCCCATTTTTTTAAAAATCGTTTTTCAAAGATCGGTCAATGTTCGTCACGATACCACTTCAAACCGGCTCTTGACAATTTTCATTTGTTAGAAAAAAATCAAATAAAACAATGATTACGAGATAATCGTACAGGGGGGAAATCTTCATTCCGTCAGGTCAACTTTTAAATTAATGAATGCAACACTGATAACAGCCAAGCTATGCGGACCATTGGAGATAATGACAGGTGGAAAATGCCTGTCTCATGCGACCCTGAGTGAGTTTATCCTATTATTTTCTATTTCTTCTTTTACTTGTAAATACGATTTATAAACGCAAAGTCCTGCTTAAATAAGTCTTAACTTTACGCTAAACTTTTCCCGGCGAAATTCAAAAAAATATTTAATTTATTTTTTCTTCTTCCTTGGTAATAAACGAGAAACAGCCAAAATGCTAAAACCTGTGATATTTCATTTTGTAGTAGCTTGGTTGTTTCTTAACATTTTGGTCTAACACCGTCGGCGTTTGGATTTTTTCTGTTTTGGCTCTGTATGCTTGTACCCCTGACTAAGGTTGGTGGATAGAGTGAGAAAGGGAATTCCGTAGGTTGGAAAAAGGGATGAGAAAGAAACGACTGAACAGTTGTGTGCTTAGAGGGATAGAGGTCAGGGACATGAGTATATGTAGAGAGGTGAATGGGAATATTATATAGCAAGGTAAGGAAGAACAGGAAAGTTATACCACTTCAGATAAGTTTCAGGAGGAAAATTTAAAACGTGTAGAACCATTCATTAGACGTTTAAGCTTATCTCCAAGCTCTCTGTATTCGTGAAAATAAGGGAGGAAACTAGGAGTTTACTAAAAGGGAGAAGATGGTTGGCACGGCGGAACTGATGGAGGGTGAAGAACGGCGTCTGTAAATCTCGGAAATATAGGGCTTACAGGGCAAGGATTAAGGGCTATACCAGGGTTTTTGACTGTGAGATTTCATCGTGAGGTAGTTGAGTTGTTTCTTATCATTTTGGTCTGGTGGGATGGAAAGTAATGATTTGCTGTACTGGTTGAAAACGATGGTGCTACTCACGAACGTTTTTTGCTGTAGTGCACTGCGTTAGAACTTACGTATTCAACCAGTGGATTGTTCTACTCACTCCACATTTCTATCAGATACTATCAGAAGTCTGACAGTCCAAAACAGCGAAAATAGACGGACCAAAACGGAAACAACTAAACCCTACCTGACAATTCTTCACAATTTTGCCTTCAAAATGATTTCGAAATCGTGAATGTTACCATCAAGTTGGTCATCGATTACAACTGTTCTCTTTCTTCATTTTATTTTATTTTATTTTTTAATTTTTTTGTTGGAATAAATGTCCTTATTCAACTACTTTTATTCTATTCTATTTACTATTCTCATTTTAATTATATTCAGGATCAAAGTATTATTTTGAATGGCCCTGAACGACCACTGATGGTACTACTCTATTTCTTGGAATTAGGTACAACTTGCTGGGTGCTTTCTGGTCTGACAGTCCAAACTAGCGAAGAAAGGCGGACCAAATGGAGTGGTAAGGGCAAGAAAACACGAAACCTTTTATCGTCAAACCTGAAGGCACTAACCCTGGTAAGCATAATTTGGCCTTCACAATGATTTCGAAGTCTTGTCAATAAGTCAATACCATCGAGTATTTTGTCGATTACACGCATCACTTTCTGCTCTGTCCTTGTCCAACTGCCTTTTACTATTCTCTCTTATTTACTATTCTCATCTTAATTATATACAGGGTCATACTTTTTTTTTCAGTGTATTATACGATGAGACATTATCCTATTGGTAACTTTACATCTGCAAAAACTGCCTGTGATGTTCAAAGAAATAATGAATTTTTTTGTCAACAATAAAGCAACAATCTTATTATGTCTGAACATTTATCGATTTAGGGAAAACAACAGGATATTTTAATGGAAAAACGGCGGCCAAATACGGTCCCATTGGAGCCGAAATACTACGATATAATGAGAAAGCTCTGTTACAACTGTTTACCCGGCAAATCCACAAACCAGTTACGAAATACAAGGATTCTACGGGCAATGATTTCACACCGTTTAGCTTTTATAGCCCCCAATTCTCTTTTTATCAAAGTCCAAATAGCGAGGATGTCGTATCCCTGAAATAACTACTTTCTCATACCAACCACCGTGTTTGACTATGTCAATTGATTATATGTTATATACATTTATTTAAATAAGAAAATTTGATTAATTATTAATCTTTTGTAGCCTATTGTTTGAAAATTAAAGGTACAATTTAAAAAGAAAATTATCGACAGTATATTTTTTGTCTGTTCGGACAGAGATGAATATTAAATAAAGACTAGGTCCTAGGACATTTCCTCGCGCTACACACGCCACATTATTTTTTGTACATATATAAAAATGTGCCTTCATATTTGACTAAAATACTGACATTGTAGGTGGAAAATAATTCAAATAATACAAAACAACGTCTATCAAAGTTGCCGTGTTGAAATTCCAGTCATAGTACCACCGAAATAGATTTTTAAGATCAATTTAGATTTTTTTTTCAATTCAGTTTAACTATTTAAAAAAATGTAAGTTTCATTACTGTCATACCGATTAAAGATTATATTATTTAGATTTTCGCATGTGTGGGTTATGAAAGCACCGTTTTTTGTGGTAGAACACGGGCAAAATACTAAGAATAAATTATCACATTTTACGGCAGATAAACCCATGAAAGTTACATTTGGTGGACAAAAAATAAAACACAGAAAGGCAGTGTACCTTACAAAAAATACAAAGCATAGCTTGTCTTAGGTGATCTTAAAACAACTCCCACAGCCACAATGGGAATCAAGCGACCCTAACCTACATAATGGCAGCAACATAAAGCATCAAAACAAATGCTGCTCATGGTACTTTTATGGTATGCAGATGGATCACAAATGGGCACAAATGGGCCTAGCTATGATCACCACATGGTCCTTAGCTCCGCCAGAACCATCTTACAAGCCGAATTGCTCGCCATAGAAACATGTGCTCATGAAATAACAAACATCTTAAGTTCACTAATTTCGTGGTCCGCTTGACCAATTAATATATTATAATTAATTAAGGTTTTTAGTTGAGATAAAAAAGTCAATTTGACATTTGAAAATGGCAAAAAGGAGGGAAAATTCAAAAGGTGGGGTTGAGATGGGGAGTTAGTGTCCGAGTGGATCAAGGTCACGATAGCTCAAGTGGTAGAGCAGCGGCGTATCAAGCCGAAGATCGTGGGTTCGAATCCCGCTCGTGCCATTGACTTTTTTATCTCAACTAAAAACCTTAATTAATTATAAAACATCTTAAGGTTGCAACAAAAATAATACTGTCAATTATCTGAATACCCTAAAATACTAGGAACTACAAATAGTAAAAAGCTCAGATCATGAGGAATTTCAGCTAACAAGGCAGCAGACATCCTGCTATAAAGGGAGGCGGGACAAGACATAAGCCCAAATCAAATTTCTAGCATAAATTATGGCGGTATTAAATAAAAAAGCGCAATGATAAGTTACTAAAGAACAGTGGGAACAGTTGCGAGGCATAAGGCAAGCAAAAAGACTCAAACCAAATTCTACTTAACAGAAATCAATTAAAGATACAAACAGGTTTATTTATGAGACGGTTCAATGTTCACTTACGAAAGTAATAATGGTACATTAACATGCCAACTATATCTAGAAGAGGCAGACATACAGCATATCTTCTGCAACTGCTCTGTATTCGCCAGGAAATGGCTATGATGCCTGGAAAGCATTGAGCCATTTAGATTTCGATTCCCTGAGGAGAATTCTTTATTTCATTTTTTTTAAATTCTAATAAAAATATTAGAATAGCTCATACACAATAGAGGAAAGTTCAAGTGCAAGAGGGGGTCGACTCCAAATAGAAAAATCGTCATAATCATCGTTAAAATACTGCAGGTTATAGTTGCATAACATAAAACCAATTTCAAATCCTGACTTTTAAGGATTAATTGCCTGCGATGTTATCTGTATTTTACAATTAACTTTTTTGTAATGTAGTAACCTTAGTCCATGAAAGTATAGCATCATTGTGATAAAATTTTGTTAAATTTAAGTATTTATTCTATTAGAAGGCATAGTTAGAAAATTCTAGGACTATATTTAGGATTTCCCCGCGATTTCTTGAAGCAAAGAGCGAGATTACATGAGCCCAAATTATTCAATAATGCTACATGTGTTTCGAAATAAACATTTCCAATTACATTACTGTTTACTTACTCACTGTTTTATATATTATTGTTTAAACATTATTGCAAATTTTTTTTAGATGTTTTGCAAGATGTTGGACAATCTTTCAACATTTAGTCACAGCGGAAACGCTGAATGAACCAATAAAGGCCAAAGGCGTTGCTAAATCCAACAAGTCACTGTAAAACCAAAATCAAAAAATAAGCACAAAAAATTGTATATTTGAACTACGATATTTGCCTCGAGAATGTCAAGTTTTCTCTAGATTCCGCAGGAATTTCACGGACGACGGCCGATCATCACTGATCACTTACCCGGCAGTTCATCCTGCCCGGCAGGGGAAATCGGGATTTTCAGTCGGTGCGATGTTGAAGCGAGGCACGCGCGTCGAGACGTCTTCGACCAGAAACGGAACGCGACTGAATCGCCCTTTTTGTCACGTGTTTAGTCGAAGCGACACCGTGCTAATTAAACCGGTTAAGGTCGCGTTAACGGCCGAGGCGAAAACCTGCCGCGTTCATATTTCAAATCTGTACGACACAGAAAGCTAGAAAATATCAAAACTAAAATGACACAACAGAAACGAACAAAACCGCAACTATGGGATAATGAGCATTAAATGAATGGAATGAATTCACCGATACTTGCTCATCCTTTCGTTCATTCACACAACTACTCACTAGCTTACTACTTTCTCACTTTTTTTAAAAATTTGTTTACTTACTCGTTATCTACCCATAAATAAAATTCATCACCTTATCCCCCACCTCACTCTTCTCTAACAAAACTACTAACTCATTCGCTAAATTAGTTGATTATCACTCATCAATAACATCCATTTTCTCGCTCAACTTGACAGACTTAAATTGTAAAACAAAATAGTGGAATAAAAATATACCTTATTCGTAGTCGCAGAAATTAAAATAGCAAGTCAAATTTGAAAAATCTAAAAATTTTCTGTTCAATATTTTCGTTACTAAAATTTCAAATCATCACGGTAAATACAGCAAGCCTGACTGGGCATAAATATACAACAACCTGGTATTAATTTTGAGTTCAACGGGTTCAAGGGCATACTTTGTGCTTTCTAATTTATGAAAATGCATGCAGCTTTTTACTTACATTAACCACCGTTATTTCTTCTTGATTTATAGCTGGCGTAAAAAAACAAATAACATACAATATGCTTAATCGGCAAGAAGCATTAAAAAAAACTTAGTTTGAGGCCGGATGGTCGAAACACTGTACGTTTTGCTTTATTCATTTAATTACGTCTGTCAATTTAATTAACGTATTGTATATACATAATTTATTACTAATACCATTAACGTTAGCTGACACGTTCAGGGCCATTCAAACAGTGTTTTTTTTTAATTTTATGGACGCGCATGATATTAGGCTTCTTTTATGTGTTTTTTTGATTTGTAAAACATACATTTACTCGCTACAGATCACTCATTAAATCTTGAATCCACCGATATTCACTATTCACTCTAATACATTCATTCATTTACTCAATAACTCAGTTGTCATTCCTTCGATCAATCCATCATTAAAATACTCATTCGCTTAATTACACATTCGATCTCAATCAGATATCAATTTATTCATTCACCGCCTACTTGTTACCTGCTCAAACGTTCGTTCATACTCTTACAAAATTCTCACTTTTTTGTAATTTATTTAGCTTTTCTATCGTTAACCTTTTTACGCATTCATTCTCTCAATGACCTAATTCTGTCTCTTACTCATCCACTCACTGGTATCTTCTCATTCACTAAACTGTTCATTCGCACATTTACTCTTTACCTGCTTCAATTCTTTCATTCATTCTCCTACTCACGAGACTGCTAACTTCTCACTTAATTTTTTTATTCATTTACTTTCTCGAGAAATCTTTTAAATAATTTACTTGGCCCTTCACCCATCTGCTTCTGCCTATAAATCATTCACTCATCTACTCACTCTCTGGTTTAATAATCTTACCGTTCTGTAATATGTTCATTTACTCACTAACTGCTCATTCATTATTTTATTCATTCACCTACTCACTTTCTTACTAACTTCTCGCTTTTATTTTATTCGTTTACTTTTTCACTTCTTTATTGTTTTAATCACACATCTTTTACTTCATTCATTCACCCAAATAAGTATGCTTCTTACTTATGCACTCACAGTTATAATGTTTTCTCGCGAATTAGTTCATTCACCTGCTACTCATTACCTGCTCATTCGTTCGTTCTTCCTCCCACTTTTTCTAGCCTCTCACTCTATTTTTTCATTAATTTGCTTTCTCAATCGTTTAACTTTTAACTCATTTATCGTTATTTATGTATATTCTTCTGTCTCTAAATCATTCAATCATCTACTCACTGATTTGTTTGTAATTTTCTTATTGATTTGTTCATTCTCCTATCTACTCGTTACCTACTCATTCATTCGTTCATCCACTTACCTACTCACTAACTTCTCACTTATTTTTTGTATTAATCATTTGCTTTCTTGATTTTTAATTTTGTAACTCAATTATTAGCTCAATCACCCAACTTGTAATTCACTAATTCGTTCACCGTTTGTCTCTTGCTCGTCACTCACCGGTATCATCATTTTTTCGTTCACTAACTTGTTCATTCGCCCTATTACTCGTTACTACTCACTCATTTGTTCATTGACTCTCTCGCTTACTCATTTGCTGTTCTACTTAATAATAGTTTAGTGATCTTCGCATTCTTTATTTTGTTCAGTTCCCCACTTATCCGTTACCTGCTCTTTCATTCACTCACCTCTTTACAAGCTTACTAACTTCTCACTAAATGTTTTATTTTATACCTTCACCCAATTGCAACCTTATTATTTATTCACAAAAATACACAGGAAAACCACTCATTTTCAAAGAATACTCAAGTTTTTGAGCTGTTTGCTTAAAAAAAAGCAATATTATAAGGCAAGATTTGGTGTTTGAGGACAAATTTATGTTGGGATAAGAGTGACAAAACAAGAATGCTCTCGTGTCCTAATTAGGCGCGATTAACTTTTTCATGCGTGACCATTGTGAATGCGTGATTATGACGAGAATTACACACTCGACGTAATGTTTTTCAAAAGACTTTTGTCCTTTGAACTATTCATTTATCATGATTTGTCTAAAATTTACTCTGTAGTTTATTAAATAATTGTTTTTATTACGAAAATTGTTTCAGAATTACCTGCCGTACCTGACGAGTACAAAATACGCCATGCCAGGTCCGATGGACTTTTCTCGAAGGCATTTTAGTAAGTTGAAGAAAAAAACAACAACGTGGGCCTCAAGTAGCAATGAGGTTATTACAAACTTTAGCATGCATAAATCAATTTAATGTGGATTTTACGGACTTAACGAGTCCGCGTTTATGCGCGAAGAAACCCTTTTCCTACACCGACACGATTTCTGGACCGCGTGGTTCCGCCGGTTACGACTCGAACTTCGTCTCCTCTAGGATAGACTGGTCAGACTAACCGGCCCAATGTGGAAAAGCGATGATAAAAAAGCCAAAAATAAGTATATCTCCTCTTCAAATAATCTTAACTTTTTTCGTTATGCAAATATTTAACTGTTATAACTACTCTGTCATGTAGAAATAAAATATTGCGTTTTCCAAATTTCCAAACGTTAACAAATTATTCAGGTTGCAATCTGTTCTACTGTAAGCAGTAAGCATGCCATTTGTTGGATTTTTTTAAAGGATAATAAAATATTATCTAAAAACTTTGTTATTACTTCTAGAATCTCTTTATTATGCATCAAAATTTATCAATTCCTCTTTCTCTCTATCAATGTTTTACGTTTATTTTCTCTCTCTCACTCACTAACTCTTTATCTCATGACACTCTCCCACTTTCTATATCCCTAACTACACTTTCTTTATCTCTCACTCTCTGCCTCACTAACTGACACGCCCTCTATCTCTCACTTACTGACTCTCTCTCTCTATCTTTCATTCATTCAATCTCTAGCTCACTAACTGACACTCACTCGCTACTTCACTGATATCTCTCTCTCTCTCTCTCTCTCTCTCTCTCTCACTCATTCTCTATCTCTCTAACGTACTCGCCCTTTATCTCTCACTTACTGACTCACTCTTTCTCTCTCTCTCTCTACCTTCCATTCATTCAATCTCTATCTCACTAACTGACACTCACTCGCTGCTTCACTGATCTCTCTCTCTCTCTCTCTCTCTCTCTCTCACTCTCTCTTTCCATCTATCTTTCCTTACATCATCTCACTCCATCTCTATCTTTCTCATTTACTCTTTATTGATCATCATAGCTTTTTAACTTTCTCTTTCTTTTGGTCTGTCTGTTATCATCAAAGATATCCAATCTATAATTAGTATATTTCATTTACCCTTCTCTTGACAATCAGGCATAATTTTTAAACTTAAGCGCTTCCTACCCTCTCACTATTACCTTTTATTGAAATCCTACCTCACTGATCGCTGTTTCAGAGTGAGGTGTGGCAATGAATTCTCGGAAGTCAAACAGACACAGGCCGGTGTACCGCAATGTTGTATCCTTGGTCCTGTCCTATATATCATTTATACTGGTAACCTACCAATACATCCTGACACTATTATCACCACCTACGCGGACGATACCGCAATCCTATCGTCTAACTCGAATCCTGTCCAAGCTACCTCCGACAGCCAGGAACACCTTGAGTTTATCGAAGACTCGTGTAAAAAATGGAGGACAAGACCGAACGAAGAAAAATGCTCGCTTGTACGCTGAAAAAGCAGTCCTGCCTTTCATTGTACATCAACTACAAAGAGATACCAGTTTCCACTCAAGTCAAATACCTGGGACTATATCTCGACAGCAGACAGACGTGGAATCCCCACACAAGACTTAAAAAACATCAACTTAATACAACACTTGGACTACTACGAAGACTTTTAAGAGCGAAATCGACTTTGACAATTAAGACAAAGCTAACACTGTACAAGACTTTACTAAGACCAATATGGACATACTGAGTGGAACTGTGGGGCACTGCCTAGCCTTCCAATATCCAGCGCATCCTGTCCTTCCAATCGAAAGTCCTTAGACAAATTGTCAAAGCACTATCCACAAAGACCTCATCATTCCTTTTGTCAACGAACTAATTCGGGCTAGATTCCAAACCTTCCACACCAACCTTTCGAACCAGCCTAACCATACTACTCGAGCCCTATCCACTCATTCCCATCCTTACAACCCACCACGTCGCCTCAACCGACGATGGCCTGGGGACCTCCTAGACCCTTAATCATACACACTGAGTGCCAGCAATGGTTGGCTCCTCAAAGCATGTGTTCTACCGATGCAGTGCTGGCATTAGTACTAGTGTTGTGCTGTGTGATATATTAATCATGTGTACATATTGTAGGGTATACTATCCTATATAGGTAACAAATAAATTATTTTAAAAAAACCTTCTCTTTCACAAGACAGGTGGTTCCTGAAAGAGCAATAATTAACAAGTATGATTAATTCTTATCAAACCAATTTTTTAGTGTTTATTACAGGTCTCAACAATTAAACTATTATCTGTCCATATAAGTTCGTAATATAAATAGATATCTGATGTTTACTGTCAAGTCTGTTGATAACGTTTTCCTCGATTTTTGCATTGTACAGGTTTCTATGTCTCGACAAGTCGTTGTTTGTTTTCTCTAAAGCAGTAGTGTAAATCGATAGTTGCCCTGCCTTTTCTCGGTGGCCTCATTCCGCCGTTCAATACGCTTTTCTTCCGCAAGGCAAATGGGGGAAACGACAAGCAATTGAGATATGTCGATTCCTCGGAATGTTTTACATTTATAAAAGAGGTCGGATTTTGCAAATATTTCCCCGGGCAAGGTTGAAATTAGGAAAGTTTTTATGGATTTAAAAAAAAAATTCGCTGGATTTAATGTTTTAAAATGAGCTGCATAGGAAAAAAACGCAATTGGGTGTTGATTTGAAAAACGATTCCGTTTTCACTGAATTTATTTTAATTTATAGTGAAATATAGAAATTGAGGAAGAAATCAACTTTCTCTCTTTCTCTCACTCTCTCTCTCTCTATCTGTCTGTCTGTCTGTCTGTCTGTCTGTCTGTCTGTCTGTCTGTCTGTCTCTCTCTCTCTCTCTCTCTTTCTCTCTCTCTCCATCATTTCATCTATCTACTTCATCGTTCTCGGTTTCTGTCTGTCTCCTCTCTCTCTTTCTCTCTCTCTCTCTCTCTTATTCTACTCTCTCTCTCTTAAACTGTAATATTATTTTTTTACCTCTCTTTTTCCTGAATTAAGTACAAAGATTGTCATGTTAAGATGATGATAATGTATCTTATCTTTACAACTGTCACTTAAGTTTATAATGTTAAACCCTTACAAATGTCTATTGTTATTTTTTTTTTCTTCTCCTGAGAGAAGTTACGTTTGTTGTTGTGTATAGTAGAGTAAACATCAAAATATGTGTAAAAATATTAAACGGTAATATTAATTTTTTCCCTCTCTTTTTCCTCTATTAAGTACAAATATTGTCATGTTAAGATGATGATAATGTATATTTACATCTATCACTTAAGTTTATAACGTTAAACCCTTACAAATGTCTATTGTTATATTTTTATCTTCTACTGATAGATGTTACGTTTGTTATTATTTAAAGAGTACTTTTTATTTTGTATGTGTTATTCCACTGTAAACAAGTATACAGCATGTAAGAGAAAATTAATTTCCCCAACTTTGTTGTGTTTAGTAGACTGCGTAGAGTTTATAAAATCATGTTGCTGTAATTTGACTTTAGGTGTAAGAGTGGTCCTAGAGACCAAACCTTGAGAGATTTATAATAAATATATAAATAAAGCGATAATCAATTAATTAATATATCTATTTATCTATCTCATTCCCTCACTCTCCCACCATCTCTCTCTCCCTCTCTCTCTCTCTCTCTCTCTCTCTCTGTGTGTGTCTGTCTCTCTGTCTCTCTCTATCATACACACTCACACAATCTCTATATATTGTTTATTTATCTATTTTTAATTATTAAAAAATTAATGTTACATGTTGTTTCCTAGAAATCTTAAACTTGCGGGGAAAGATTTTTTGAAATACCAATGTTTAAAATATATACAAATAGTTTCCATCCTCTATCTCTTTCTCTCTCTTTCCCTCCCCTCCTTTCGCAATGAATAATGTATAATTTACAAATCCAAATTTTCGTAATATTTGAACGGCAAATTTCACGTGTGCAAAACCGTAAGGAAAAGAGTGGCTATAAATCTCAACTTTCAGATTAAACAAACATCCTGTTTCCCCTTATCTAATAAGCAATAAAACAAATTTATTGGAGTGGATCATCTATCGTCGGCAGTTGTTTTATAAAATATTTGACGATATAACTATAAAATAGAAAACAAACTATCGGGACTGGACCGAGTTGTTAAACCACGATATTTTTGTTGCAAGTGTGAAAATAGAGAAATCAACGAAGTCCGGTTGTTCATGGGCTTGTCCTGGCCTTATCTGGCGATTTTCAACTTGTCAACAAGGTGTTCTGTCTCTCTCTATACATCTGCTCTTAAGATTGGAAATGGATAAAATTCAGCTTTGATAAAACAACGATTAATGAAGACCATGGAATGATAAATTGTTCATTGGAGCAGTTTCGTAGATCTAACTAATGATAAATAATATTCCATGCACACATCCATATAATAAAAACTAGCTACTTAAAATAAGTAAATGTATGTTTTATTTGTACCTTGTACGTTTACACCAATTGGAACGAGGAATAGTTGATTGAGCTTGATTTTAATTAAGCTAAAGTCTATCGTTGTTTTGGCATTGATTTCAAACAAATTTCAGAAAAAAATTAATATACTTTCGCCTTTTCTTTGGGCAAGTTTTGAAACAAATCTATAAACATTTGAACTGCGTATCTAGGATAGTGAATATAAAAATTTACTGTCTTTCATAAATAATTATTACAGAACTTCTTAATTTTTATATGGCAAATTTATCTTGGATATACACTAATTACAAGATATTACATAAAATAAAAGCCCGGTGTATTTCAAATCATTATTAAATAATAGATATCATTGCATAAATTAACAAATGTCTAAAACTTTCTGCAAAATTTAAATGAATAAAAAAGATTCCAAATAAACGAAATACTCCTTCCCAAATATGTGACCGACTGATAGTTCAACTCATTAAGAATTGAAAAAATTATATATTTAACACCGTGTTATCACACAACTTCAACGAATTCAACAGACCTTCAATCTGTCGCCGAGGGTCCTGTAAGCGGATTTTCTCCTTCCACAAAGAAGAAATGTCCTCAGAAAGAGGTGGCCCATGGCCAGCAGCCGGCCGACTGCCGTTTCAACGGTATAAGTCAACTTTTGACATGCGCCCTGGAGGGATGATTCGTGGAAATGAATCGCCTCTTGATTTACTTAACGAAAAATGTATTTTTTTTGCATGTTTGATAGGTTAAGATCACCCTTTGCCATTTTGAGTACTATGCTATTTCTTGGCATAGTTTATTTTTAATCTGTATGAATAATAAATAAATAAGACGAGTGAAAAACGGTGTACAAAGCCATCAAGCCTAGAGGTAGGAAGAAGAGGAAAATTCTAAATTTAAACAAGAAGAGTTTAACATTACACGATTTCATAATCTACATTCGCGCTAATAAATACATTTACTATTGTAGCCAAGGCGTGACGCCATTCAATCATAACTCAAAACAGGTTAACGATAACATTGGGAAAATCTTTTACAATGGAATTGTTAAATTCTAATTTCAGGAAAAAAGGAAACTTTGAAATTCACCGATATTAGTAGAACTTGGATACGATTTCGTCTTCCTTCCAGCAAACCCAAAGCCAATAGCTACTTCAGCAACCTCCAGGACAATTTCTCCTGTTTGGAAGAACGATTCAAAAAGCGGTGGTTCAGACTCGACAAAATAAAATCCAAGAAACTAGCCTTCACTTATTTAGGAATTAGATCGATAAAAAACTTGGAACCACCACACTCGAGTCAAAAGAATCGAACATCTGTGTTCAATTCATCCAAAATCTTTCGGACCTTAGGGTTGAGCTTCCTTGGGAAGAACTGAAAATTATTCTGGCTTGGTCGATTACGTTCATTTTGATCTGACTGTTCTCACTGTGATGGTCAGTTAGACGCTTTTTAGCATTTTGCAATCTTGAGTATTTAGGGATATAAGCAGGGAGAGACAACGACCCAAACCGACCGCTAAAGTTGGCGGAACGAAAAAAATGTTATACCTTTATGATTTCCCCATCCTAGGAAAAATGCAAAACATGGCTAAACGTCTAAGAAAACTAAAAGTAAATCCCTGTCTAAACCATTCTTACTCTTACTATTTTAAATGAAAAAAATCCACGTGCTACGCCGGGATTCGAACCCAAAACAGCACGACTAATGCGAGTCGGCCACCGCGTACCCCAAAGCTTCTTTTGGGCTTTATTACATTCCATCTTTGACCTCGTTCAAGAAGAAAAAATTCCTCAGCAACCATTATGATTTATGACCAGTCAATGGTTAATATTTTTAAATGTACGGCGTAAGGTTGCAGCAGTAGCTGTAAATTTTATGCGGCTGTCCTCAGACTTGTTGGCATCATAATATTTACATCATTGCGATTTCTTTTTCAAAACCACCTGGTTGGGGATAGATTTATTCTTGGCCTACTACGACGATCCACGGCCACTTAACTTTATTACTGTCTAAGCACGTACAGACATATGTTTATGTATATATTTACATAATCTGGAATTTATGACCTATTGAAGAAATCTAAACAACTTCTTTCTAGTAGTTTTGTAACAGCTTAAAAATAAGTGTGAACTATTGACCTATAATTTACGCGACGGTTAATAGCTAACTAAACGAAAAACTTTCATCACAACCACTGGCTAAATGTCATCAATCGGCAATATTGACAGATTATTGACAGATTACGGCATGATTATTGAAAGTTTGTAGAAATGAACGGTTTTTAAAATTTTTGATAAGCATTTAGTCTTGACAAGAAAAAATACATAATTTTTCAACATAAGCCGTCTTTTAGGCAGTTGGCCAAAAAACGGAGGCATATACATTTTCGTATACGGAAATGTCGATGAGTATTTCCTTGATCAATCATTTTTACGCGGCCTATATTTAGGATGAAGGATTTCGTCCTCCAAAAATTATAAATCCTATGTTTAATCCGGTGTATTATTAACTTCCCCAAAGCAAGGGGGTTCAGATTCTCCGCAACAAACTAATTCATGGGTTCAGGATGGAAACTTACTTTAAAATTAATTCATATCTGGGCGATTAGAACGAACCGGTGGAGTAGGTTTGATCCATAGTCCAACAGTACCGACCGTCAATTCCTTAAGAATAATTAGCCGATCAATTTCTATTAAACGGCTGTCAACAGGACAGCTTTCTGTTTGGTATGCCCGTATGAAACTTTCCGTTGATGAAAAAATTAATTACGAAATATTTCATATCTATCTAAAAAGAAAGCAGTACTGAAGAGGGTATCGCAATAAAATGAAGGAAATCATGATCTTTTTATGTGGTTCTCAACAACAAAGGTCATACCCTGGGATTACGGAGTTTTTGAAAGAAAAAGATCATTTGTTAGCACTTTTGGTATGAATTCTAGTTTGCTGAGATTCGAACCCGGATCCCTTAACAGCGATGAGCGCCGTGTCAACACCTTAACCGTTGCAACCACCAGCGTCTCTTAACATTGCTTTACAAATGTATAAAGTATTGGACTGCATTAGTGCACTGAGAGAAATAGTAATAAAGAACAAATTGTCTCTGATCTTGGGCACGGCTCAGGACTGAAGGGTGACGAAGAGGCTGTTGGTCTACTGATAGACTACCCAGAGAAGATTCTTCTGTACAACACTGGCTAGGGATGGTTCTTCTGGAGCACCAGTTCGAGAAGAACCCTTCTGTACAATACTGACTAGAGAGGGTTCTACCGCAACGCCAGTTGGACCAAAACCCTTCTGTACAACCCTGACTAGAGAGGGTGGGACCAGAACGCTTCTGAACAATATTGACTAGAGATGGTTCTTCCGCTGCGCCAGTTGAACCATTTAGTTCAATCCAAAGAAAAAAGGAGCGATATTGAATAAATCAACATAACATAACAACCTGGTAAAACAATCCAGTTACAAAGACAGCCAAGAAAATAAAACAGACAACAAACCTGGTGCAGCAAAGGCAGACGAAAGTACTCTTAACTGGAAATTGGCGATCCAATCGAAACTATGAGAAACATAAGGGTATCTGCGTCAGTTCTGCCAAGAGCTATAGGAAACCGCAGTCAATGTTACTATCAGGGTTAAGTAACGTATTCGTTCCAGTAGGAGTGAGTACATGAGCAAAGAAAAGCTCAATAAAGTGATGATCAACTATCAACGCTTTGGCCGTTGATAAAAAGCTTGAAGCTAGCAACCTCAAACAAATCTATTAATCCATTCTCCGTTAATATGAGAAAAGTAGAAATTTTAAAAATAGGCTTTTGTATTCGCTAGGGTCGCCAAGTTAATTGTATACAGAAAAAAATCATACCTGAAGTTTGTTGACTGATTTCTCGGCGGTGACGCCGTCCATTTCGAGTTTGGCCAAGACTTTTTGCTGCGCCTGTGTCTCCTGGAAGGTTACCTCGCCGGACTGCATCCTCTTAAGCCCGAAAGAATTGGCGACTGACCTTTCCGAAAGCACTTTTTTGTTTCTTTTCTGGCCGAGGCACATGGCCTCGGGTGACATGGCCCGTACGGACTCCGGGGGCGATTCCTGGTCCGGGAATGTGACGAGGGGCTCGCCGTCGCACGGGCTTGTGCACACGTCCGACTCGCACTCCTCGACCAAGTCTTCGACGGAGCTCTTCATCGAGTTGAAGCTGCTGAGGCTCTTCATCTCCGAGATGCTCGACTTCAGCTCGGAAAGGTTCGCCTTGAGCGTCGAAGCGCTCATAATCTTCTGCGATGATTTGGCCACGCGCGAACTCGAACTTGTCGTCGTCGTCGAACTGGTTGAGATCTACAACACAGATTGTTCTAGCGTTAGCCCCACTCGTCTAAGAACCCTCCCACTTTCATTCTTTTTTTATACTAATCATTTTTATTTATAAATCTTATTCACTTCGGCTAATCTGAGTCTGTAGGGAAAATATAGCCAAGACTAATTTAAAATAGATGTAAATATGAAACATCTCTTCCTTGTCAGCTGAATTGCTGCAGGAATGCTCGTGCTTCCGTACGAAATTATTCAAACAGGATTCTCGGGAGACATTGGATCCGTTTCACTCCCTCTTAATCCGTCTACCCCGTTAAAAAAATCGATATTACGTAGTAGTATATAAATAATGGTGATAAAACAAGAGATAACCTCCTCCAGACTTCTAAAAAAGCGAGTCTTGACGGACCTATGAATTAGAATACCCACTCTTAATATAAAATAATATTGATTTTTCTTTCATATTTAATGTAAACCTATGTAATAGTTTGTCCGTTTGATGCGTTTGTGTTAGGCCCTGAAAGTTTGAAAGCTGGAATTTCAAACGTTCAGTACTTGTATAATTTTAAACTATAGTTTAGTTACAAAAAAAAATGCTTAAAGAATATTTTCATGACTATAGGTTTAATTAATAGGGTATGCCAAAAATAAACTCATGACTACCATCGATTGGTGGACTAAAGCTCAGCAAACACAAGGTGCACAAACAGACAACTGCAAATCTATGTATCACAGGCGTAAACAACTCCATCAATCGCAATTATGCTAAACTTCCAGTAGAAATATTTATGGAAGGAGAAGCGAGGAAAAGCTCATTCAGTTTGAAAAAACAATCTAACGTTTTACGTCATCCTATAAAATCTCTACAGACTACAAAGGAGAAGAGGAAATAAGTAGGAAATTAGGTAAAATCTGGACAAGCCCGAAATACGAGCTACTGAGCTCATTACGGAAGTACACCTCGGTCTTCACAGCTGAAATGCATGCTATAAATGGTTAAGCTTTAAAAAACTTCAATTAATCTTCACAAAATCAGACTGCCAAGCAGCTGAGCTAAAGCATTAGCGTGTAAAAAGATCACACCAAAAACAGCCAGTGAATGCATCCAAAATCTCCATTACATCGAGAAACGCAAAAAACTGATGTTATCTCGGTTACCAAGACACAAAAAAATCTTGTTTGAAATTATGCAATGAGGAAGAAAAAAACCGCCATCCATATCATCTTCGAGTGCGAAGCAATTGCTCAATAGAGATATAACCTGAGATAGAAAGAACATCCTGGGAAGGGAACTGTAGAAACGACAGTCAATGACCTTATTTAAAAGAAGGATCGAATGGATTGCACTGAACAAGAAACTAGGAAAAGTACAATAAGCCAGAAGGCTACAGAATTTGGGGGACATAAATCCCCTTTCGCTATCAAACGGCTTTTCCAGGCGCTGGAAAGGGGCTCTCTAAGAAAAATCTATACTACGAGTTCCTGAAGAATGTTCTGCTAAAACTGAAAGATCATATCAAGTCCTAAGTACTCCAGTGCTAGATAGTGTATAGTGTCGAAAGATTTACACGACATGTGGAAGGTGATAGTGCGTTGATCGCAGCCAAACGGTTTTCCACGTATTAGAATGGGGCTGTATAACCAAAATCTTCACTACGATTTCCTGATGAATGTTTGTTGAAGTTGTCGGATCAAATCGACTCCTAAGAACTCGAGTAACAGGGGTGCGAATATCAAAAAATCAAAACGACATGTGGAAGGTGACAGTGGGTTGATCACTGTCAAACGGCTTTTCAGGTTACTGGAATAAGGGCTGTCGACAAAAAAGAGATTGATTCAAGTTCCTGATGAATGATTTATCAAAATGTATAAAAATTTAGCTTTTATAAATTGCAAAGGAGTTCTTTTGCAGCAAGAAAAAGCACGGTAACAAACCACGTGTCGTACCAGAAAACATCAGATCATCATGGGATAGATCTTCTGACACACCAACCATCATACCATAGTGCAGCTCGTCTAAGTAAGAATATTACTTGACCCATGGCCCACGACGTTCCTGGTCCGCCCTTCCTTGCTGTGTTCTGTCTATTTGGTCTGCTATTTCTGGTTTGTTTTGTTATCGTTTGAACCGAGTAGTCTAATATAATGCCGGTAGAAATACAATGCCGAGAACAAGTCATGCATATTGAAACTTGGTAGCACTAATAACCAAATGATAGGCTCTGGAATTGATTCGATTCTATACTCTCATTCATATTTATAAATGGTTAACGGTCTCCCGTACATTTTATGATTTTATGCACAACCTACAGACCTGCTGCGACAGCAATTGCTGCGTCTGGGCCCCGGAGATCTGAGCCAAATCTTTCACGGGGGATCCGTTTTTCGACTCGCCGCCCTCTCCATTCTCATTGCTTTCCAGCGGGAACGAGGGAATCTGAAAAAAAAACAATATTTAAGAGAATAGTATAAAAACCGTAAGAATTATCTCAGAAAATAGCATAAAACATTATGTCTCTATGCCTTCTCATGTCGTCCCTCTCATTCTTTCTCTCTCTCTCTCTCTCTCTCTCTCTCTCTCTCTCTCTCTCCCCTCTCGTAATCACCCCTCTTTATATTTATTTATAAAAAGTTTCTAAGTACATCTATTTTTCAGTTTTACTATTTTATATTCTTTAATCTAATGAACGAACTATTAAAATTTTTTAAAGCTTTCACCTTTTACAACGACCAAATTATCAACACCAAATACAACGCTTATAAAATATAAAATTTTCCTTGTTTTTAACACCTTGGGAACACGTCAGGCTCAATTAGTTCCTTTGCAACACCAGTTGAAAAGAATCGTCCTTGCTTCTTCTCCAACGGTACATGTACGATTTCTTAATTGTTGGCCAATTAATCTCGTTAAAAAATCAATTAATAGTCAATTAGTCGGCTACTGTTCTGTCTCGGTTTTAATTACAAAACAGGCAATAAAACAACCAAGGGAACCGTTTATTGTTAAACCTCTCCTCTTCAGAACAATCACAAATCGACATGCTTTATTTAGGGACACGCAATACTTTATGTATTTAGAAAATCAATGTTTTAGTATTAGTAAATAATATCTAATCTATATTTATAACCCAAACCCAAAACATTTTAAAATCAAAATTATACAATTAAACGATTTTTCCATAAACATTTTATATTTATGGAAATTATTAAAAAATCGTTTCTGTGCTATTTTCTATCAATTTTTTAATATATAGGTATCGATTAGGTATATATTAATATATACATACGATATATTATGATATTAGGTCAAAAGTATATCAGAAGATTTCATGATTTTTGATTTGAGCAGAAAACCATCCACAATGAAGGAAGAGTTTGTAACGGCAAAGAAAATTCATTTTATTTTCCAACTCTTCCTGGCGGATAAACAATGCCAAAAAGGCATCAGAGGTCTCTTAAATTTCAAAACAAGACTGGCCCAAAATTAAAAAAAGAATAAGAAAAAGCTGTCGCCTGTCGATCCATCGTTCTGAAACTAGCGGACTCAGCTCCGAACGCCCAAACAATTGTACTTTATTGGCTATCGCTTTTCAACAGGGAGACCGACAAAATTAAATTTTGTTTATTCCCCGGGCCTCGATTGCATCTGCTGTCGGGCGGATTTTGTTTTTATTGTTGAGATTATTAAGCAGAACTTCCCGTTTCAACGGCGATTCTGCGTCGGAGGCACTTCTGAGCATCGATGGTTGAAATGCCGGTTCAACTGCTCCGACGATGAAAAATGAGATTTTTCCTCTTCAAAAAAATCGAAACCCTGCTGTACAATTTGAATTACGACAACCACAGAGATAGATGAGAAAGAGAGAGAGTGAGAGAGAGGGAGGGAGAGAGAGAGACAGAAAAAGAGAGTGAGAGGGGGGAAGGAGGGAGAGAGAGACACACACATTGATACTGAAGAATGAATGAATATAGTCATTTAAAAACTCACCCAAATTTGTAAATTTAGGCAGCGAACTTCATCTGTTGCAATTAACGAGAGTTATGAGAGAGAGAGAGAGAGAGAGAGAGAGAGAGAGAGAGAGAGAGAGAGAGAGAGAGAGAGAGCGATAGAGAGAGAAAGAGAGAGTGAGAGATAGTAGAGAGAGGGAGGATGAGAGAGAAGGAAAGAGAGAGTGAGAGATAGGGAGGAAAAGAGAAAAAAGAGTGATGGGGAAGAGCGAGAAGGAGAGAGAGACATAGATACAGAAGAATTAATGAATATAGTTATTTAAAAAATCACCCAAATTTGCATATTTAAGCCGCGACCGGCATCTGTTAAAATTGAGAGAGGGAGGGAGGGAGAGAGAGAGGGAGAGAGAGGATAGAGGGAGAGAGAGAGAGAGAGAGAGAGAGAGAGAGAGAGAGCTTATTTACAAAATCACCCAAATTTAGGCCGCGAACGTGCTTCAATTACGAGAGTTACGTGAAAGAGAGAGAGAGAGAGAAAATTCAATATGCTTTAGTATGCTGGGGTAGTTCATATGCAAATGCAACGAAACCAATAACATTATACGGAAAAAATTATTCCTACAATTTTTAAAAAAATGCGAATTGGAACACTGTTCCTTAATTACCACCACATTTTGCCTGTACCATACCTTGGTCTTTTCCGTACTGTGAGGTTGTTTTTTAATAGGGTTGGAAATTGTATCGAAAAAAAAATAAATAGGATGTGAGATGTCCTATAAATAGCGTGTTGCCCCAACCAAAATTAACAGTTGTGTTCAATGGTTTTCTGTATGGTGGCCCTAAGTGGTTCTATTTGGTCCCTAATGACATGACATGTGAAGTAAAAAGTCAACTGTTGGCGAATTGAGTATGTGGCTAAAATCGAAATCAAAAATTAGTACCTACTATTTAAAAAAAAAAAGTTTTTTCACCTTTGTTGTTGTTATCATTATTACTACTATTTTTGTCTCTTCCAGTTTAGCAATGTTATGTTCCCCATTTACTAGTATTTTTTTACTTCTTTTTTTACCATTGTATTACTGCAGCACGCGTACAGATCTACGTCAAAGGTACGTATAGCACCAACTTTTGTTATATAAAAATAGTTTTCTTTTGTATTACGGAATTTGTACCAATTGTATCTTTTTTTCTGTATTATGTATTAACCTAATAAAGTTGGTTAAAAAAAATATGAAAGAGACAAAAATACAAAAACTGACATACTATAAAGCAATGGCTAGAATTGTATTGTATTATTTGCTTGCTAAACGTTTGTGCTATGTCAAAACACAACTGATGTAATTTAAAACAGGGTTATCCGAACAAGTTATCACTGGGTTTTTATTTTCACTCCAGTTTTTATTTATTACATTCAAGGCCGGACGCAAAACGCGATACCGGCGTTTCCGTGCAGAAATTGCTCATCCGTCGGGCCAGAATTTCTACCGTAATATTCAGCGCCATGATTATCTTTTTAGGTAAAAAAAGGAAGTCAAGTAAGCTATTTTTACCCGATCACCCTTCGGCCACACGAGTGTAAAGAAATACGCAGACTAATACGAAAACAATTACCACATCGCTGTGACATTCGTTCCGCCTGCAGAGTCAGCCGCGTGCAAATCGGACCTAGACTCGTCCCAGATGTTAATACAGCAAAAAAAAAAAAAATGGGTTAGTAAATAAATCGAACCCGTGGGATGAATCCCGACCTATGAACCTGGGGAAAAAGGAGAAACTATTCTGCAAAAAAAATGAGCAGAACTCCCATCGATTCTATTAAGCGAATCCCTGAAATGTAATGAAAATGAAACTTAACAATTGGAAAGAGAGAAAATTTTCACACCGTGCTAAATTAATGAATGTAGCCTCGGCCTAGTTATTATTACAACAAAAATAATTTTGCCGATAAGCAAATCAAACTAGTGGGACGGAATTCTTCATTGCCTGAGAAAAGACCAGGTATTCACACTGATGAGGTACCAAGACCTAGTCAAGGAAATGAGCCGAACGTGAACTACCAAACGAACTATTCATATTCATTGTACAAGGAGCACAACTAATTCAAGGTAACTCAGACTGGGCTAAAGTAGGGAATATCAAATGAGTAAAAATTGTGGGTTAAGTAAACAAGCCAACCCCGTGGGATGATTCTAAACTCTTCAAAGCCTGGGACAAGACAGGGTGACCCTGATGACATACAAAAGGAAAATTCATGAGATTCACGAGAATAAACAAAAGAATGACTCGTATTCGTTGGACTTGATGCTCAACTGTGCACGGACTGCAAAATGTACTTAAAATAAAACTTTACATTTGGATACGAGAAAAACCCATGGAACGAATCCAAACTCGTCAAAGCCAGGGACAAGACTTGGAGACCCTGATGAGACACCAAAACGAATTTCATAAAATAAACAGAACGAGAACTAACAAAAGTTTAAAGTTCATACAAAAGTTAAAACAAAACGATGGGTTGGACTTGAAGCTCAGCTAACTGCGACTATGCACGGCCCTCAAAATGTACTTTTTTTAACGAGGGTTATTTCAACTACGAAGTTATATGTACCCACGGGGTTCCGGTGTTTTTGAAAAATTGCCCTTTTTTAAGTATGACGGGTTTGAATGCAGGGCCGCTGGATTCGAACCCGAGACCTTTACCCTACAGTGATGCACACCGTGTGATCGCCTAAACCGTAGCGGCCACCGACGCCCCTTGAAAAATGTACTTAAAATGAAACTTTACACTTTGAGACAAGAAAAATCTCACATTGGACTAAAATAACGAATCTAGGCTTGTCTCAGATGCTAATACTGCAAAAATGTTAGTAAACAAATGAACTCTGTGGGACGTATCCAAACTCTTCAAAGCCTGGGACAAGACGGTGTAACTGAGATCTATTGAAATAGAAGCAAAACTAAGCACATCTTTTGAACATGAAGCCAAGACAAAACTGAAAAAAAATCAAAAGTAAGACCTCTCTTAAAAGGCTGGTATTGAAGTTAACCATGGCCCATTTTAGTTTAAAAAAAGAGTCAAAACATGGTACGAGAATCTGGATTTGGAACATGGCCTTTGTGACTTGCAAAGGACGAGAGTCGGTTGTTGAACTTACTTTCTATGTCGATAACAATATCCAAAAAATTCACCAAATGCGTAAAGTACATAAATTCCTAATGTTAAGTATAGAGAGAAGTTCAAGAGCTTTAAAGCTGTTATTAGGACGCTTAAGTTTTCAACTTTTGAAATATTTAGGCTGATTACAGAATATAAGAAAAAGCAATCAATAAAACATATATAAATTGAACTGTAATAATAATCTGTAAAAAAAATTAACACTTGCTCGAGAAAGGGTCTTACAAAATCATCCTTTTCGGTATTTTTACGGTTGGATTTTGGCATTTTTTAATTTGATTAACCCGTCAGTTACATTTTACTAATTAATGTTGATC